CACCCCACCCATCAAGCCACTATCACTCGCCAGTAGACACTGCCACCGCTACCATCGCCGGCCGCCAACGTTGTAACGACGTACGACCGACTGGATCTAGCTTGTCGTATGCCAATCTGTCCATTTCCGACTAGATCCACCATGGATCTGGCCATTCTACATCCAAAGATTTGATCGTTGACGACGGCCAGATCCACGGTGGATCTTGCTGAAAAAAGCCAAATCTGTGCACGACCGGCTAGATCCAACCGGTCATGCACCATTCCGACAGATTTTGACCACCTTCTGACGATGGTAGCCAGTTGTCGGCAATATGTGAGCGGGTGAGGGTGTTTTTTGTTGGTGTATGCCCTAGGAACCAATCGTGTTGTCAATTCCAAGGTATTATGTTTTGTATATACATTTTATCTTATTAATAGAAGAAACTGTTCTTATTTCACATTTGTTTTATTGCTTCATTTATATATATGTATTACATGTGAAATGTCCGGATGATACAAATCTTTAAAAGATCAAAATCATCAAAGCATCCCCTACATAGGTAATATTAATTGGGCAATAATATTACATAGTAGGCATGCTGAATACCTCCGTAGAATATCATGTAATGGTATTAGTGTAGGTGATTATAAAAGTTATATCACTACGGCATTAGCTTGGATAAGTGGTTAGTGAACTATTTATCGAATATGATCATTTATGATGAATCACATTGATATGTAAAATGTAGTCAATGATTTATCATAAGATCGTACTAATGTATTATTAATCCTTAGACCTGAGATATCACGGTTGGATTTTGCATAAACGCATATGGTTCATATGGTGTATAAACACGAGGCTAATCATATCATATGTTAATAAGCCGATTTAGCCATGTGTTATTTATGTGTGAGGACAAGTGATAGTCAATATGGGATTCGTTGACTTGGTATAGATTGATATCAAGTTCCTAGACAAATGTCAAGATTCATTGGAAAAGGGAAATCTCCGATCGGGGTATATAAAATGTTACTTGAAAGGTTGTTTCTTGGTGACACGTTCCATATGTATTGATTGTCAATTTGATATAAAATTAAGATAAGAATTTTGACATACCATGAATCCATTCTTAATTGGGATTAGACAACGGAAGGATTTGATTATACAACGTGTATGATTATAAAAGGGTTCGTTGGAATATATCTTCATTGTGACTTAGGGGTTATGGAGCATTGTTAAATGCTTACCATAATCAATGAGAGTTTTGTTTATAAAGATTTACGAGAAAACATATCGAAATAGACTGTGATATTGGGCCCACGACTAGACCACAGTAAACCTAAGAGGTCACGCATTAAAACTAAGGAGAATGGAGAAATAGCCAAAGAGAGTTGATTATCCAAGGTTGGCTAGCACCTACCAAAGGTGATAAAGTTATTTATATTATTATCATTGAATTAGATTCAATGCAAGGTTATATTAGTTATTATGAATAATTTAAGAGTTCAATTGCCAATTGGAATTCAATGGAATTCCAATTCATAATTAATCATTTTCTTTATATTAATTTGTATTTAATAATGGGTTTTAATTGTAAACATATGAACAATTTAAGGGTTAAATTGTTATGTAAACAATTTAAGAGTTAAATTGTTAATCGTGATTAAATGTTAATCCAATGTTATTATTTAAAGAAGCTTAACAACTTCATAATAATTATGAAATTATTTACAACTATAAAAACAATTATGGAATTGTTTAAGAAAGTCCAAAACAATTATTGAATTGTTTACAAGGCTTCATATATAAAGAAAATGATATATCAGTTTTAGAGTAGAGATCAAAATCTCTAAGAATCCTAAATCTCTCTCTTGGCCTAATTCTTCTTCTACCTTGGTGTGGATACTCTTATGTTTAATTTCTCTTGAAATTAAAAGTCTCTAAGGTTGCCAAGGACTTAAGGTAACATGTTATACCTTACTTATTTTCAATTTGATTGAAATTTTTTTCAAACTATGAATATACATGTTATAGTATCATATGCATCATTCTCCATGTATTACATCTTACATTTTGTCAATTTATAAACGTTTATTGTGGAAGCATTTAATTAAATTAACAAACCGATAAGATTAAAAATAATCTAAATATTTTTAGAAAATGCTATTAAGAAATGTATCCAAAGCTTCTCAGAATTCTATCATATTTTCCAAAAATGTTATTCAGCAAAGAATGTTATTCTAAATAACTAACCAAACGGAGCCTAGTTTTTATTTCGTTGATTCATGAAGTTAGGGTTTATCTTTCAACTTTTAATTTTTATTTCATTAATACATTTTAATATTATTTTAATTAATATATTGGAAATTGTTTTAATATAACGCGCTGTAACGGAAATTACTTAATATAATTAATAGAGTAATACTACACTTACAAATAAATTTTATAAAGATCTCCATACAAAGTGATGTGTCAAAAAATGAATGGAATAGTGAATTTAATAAGTTTGACTTTTTGTTTCACTCTTCCATTCATTTTTTGCCACCTCACTTTGTATGCAAATCTTTGTAAGATTTCTTTGTAAGTATAGTAATATTGTAATTAATATACTATGTTCCACTTCCACTAAACTATAATTACACTTGTAATAAATTTTGTTATAAAAGGTATGCTACTATCATTCTCATTTGTTTCTGTAAGAGTCATAAACTAAAGCATCATAATAATGAGATCTTTCTTGAATCTGATCTTGTTTTTCGCACTCTTCCTCTATTCATACTCACTGTATGTCACACATTCTTTTTCTTCTTCAATGCTTTCATTGTGCCAAAATGATGAAATTAAAAGAAAGTTTTATTATTTAAAAAAACCTGTTTATGATTATTCACAAGTTTATTCATGGAAGCTCCAAGAACAAAATAACAATAAAAAATGGTCAAAAATATAACTAAAACCAAGTTCGTATGACCTAAATTTAATTAGCGTGAAATTTTTCGTGAATTTTTTTGCTCTAACTGGTAAAGAATATTGGGTTACTGCGAAAATGAATCCAGTCCATGCGAAACTTTTGCACTAACTGATAAAGCATATTTGCTCTGTGCGAAAATTTCATATTGACTCGGAAATTTCGCACTAACTAACATTTCTCTGCTTTGGCCACTTCAATTTTCACGACATGAAAACCAAATGCATGATAAATGAACATCAAATAAACCTTAAAACGTACAATCACATCCATTCAAAAATCATATCCACTATCTTAATAAAAATAAACAATTTATAGAAATCGACGATTTTACCTGAACATAATGTTTACACGTTTTAACTGGGAGGTGTCTAACTAATTTTGAGTGGTTTTTATGGATTGAAATGTACAGAAATTTGTATGAAAATGTTAAGTAGTCAAAGGTAGCCATTATTTAGATGGTTTGGACTAAAGATATAACCTTTAAAAATTGGTTATTTTCTTATAGCCCCCTCAATAAAGACTAAGCTTCACCAAGAATTTACCAACAGCTAGTTGTTTTCTGGGATGTTTGTGTATGAAACTCACATGCATGTATGGAATAACGAATGACCTCCTTATATTAAGTCTTTATATAATAATGAGGGTTTTCAAAAAATAGCCATAATTTCCAGGATCTACAGCAATTAACCAAAATTTCAAACCCTGTACAATGTAACCAACTTCTTTAGTTAAATACCATTATACCCTCACCCCGAACCTCCCAACACTTAAGCATCTCATCAACTAATTAGCACTGCTCTTCTAAACTAAAAACCTCAAAACTCAAAACAAAATAATTTTGACAAACTGAAACATAAGCCAAGTCAATATGGTGTATTTTTGTTTTTCTATTGATCGGACATGTGAAGCATGAATAACCGATACAAAAACATTTGGATAAATGGAAATCTTGGAGAGTTATTACTGCTCTTTCTATATAGCCATTCTTTGATCTTGCCGATAATTTTGGACTCGCATATGCAAAATTACAAACTTAAGAGAGCAGAGATTATATATGTTAAAGGACTTTAAATTTAGAGTCTTAAACAATGAGTCCTGGCCGAGACTCTTTCCAATGATTCCTTAATTCATCTGATAGAGATATATAACTACTAGAGTTCTCATTATCTAACGTTATATATATATATATATATATATATAATACTACACTTACAAAAAGCACATACAAAGACTTTTAAAATTTCAATTATTAGATGAATTATTATAAAAATTCAATTTTAAAAGTGCATAACAAATGAGGTTGAATGACTTGGTAATATAACAATCATGTCAAGTCATTTTATATAAAAAATCTTTGTATACTTATTTTGTGCAATGTTACTCTTTTTTAATATAAAGGTAAATTTGTCGTAAACTAAAACGGAGTTAAAGAATAAAAAGATAGAGCTAAAAATCACTTCCTAAATATCACTTCCTAAATCATATCTCAAATGAAAGATTATTTTGATCAAAGTTGGATTCACTTAGGGTCTAGTACAACGAATTCTACATTGGAAGTGTATTGGAGGGGTCTTTGACTTATAAATAAGAGGAATCTTTTCACTTAATAGGTTAGTCTTTTGAGTGTAAAACTTCCAGCTTGTGATAAGTGGTATCAAAACAGACCCAGTCTGTCTTTTGATGTCTCGCTAAGCACCTATGTAGGGGCGTCTATGTGTGATTGTGGGTCCACATGAGAGTGAGGTAGATAGGTAGGCAGGAGACCTCACCTGTGAGGAGGTCGTCACATGATTGGGTGAGGGAGAATGTAACGAATCTCACATCTGAAGCGTATTTAAGGACTCTGAATGAGTCTCTTCACCTAATAGATTTTAGTCTTTTGGGTGTGAAACTCTCAATCCGTGATAAATGGTATCAAAGTAAATCTGATTTGTTTTTCGATGTCTCGCCAAGCACCATACAATTAACCTTTTGTGCGTGAAACTCTACACCGGGCCTAATTCAGGGCCATATGAAGCCCAAGTTATTTCTTTCGAAATCTATAATCCTTTTATCGGTTCATGTTTAGTCTCGTCAGTCTCGGTACTCTCTGCCTCTCTAACAGCACCATTATCGAATGGAAGTAGCCACTGCATCAGCATCGAGCTTCGCGCTCCATACACGCATGTTAGCAACACCACCACGGGCCTCTCCACAATCCATAACTGCAAGTTCTTCTTCTCCTCTCAGAGCCTCTCTATCTACCAGCTTTCTTTCTCCATTTTCCAATGGCAGCGTCTCCGCTGCCTTTTCCGGAATCAAGCTTCGACCCCAATCCCTCAACCCGGATTCGTTCTCCCGTTCCAAGCCCAAGAGGCCTGTCGTTACCATGGTACCTTCTCTTTTTAATTTATCGAATTGACTTTATTTTTGTAATTAGGTTTGCTTTTATTATATATTTGAATTAGTTTATTTTATAGTTTTGTCAGGACAGCGTTTATGGGTGTGTTTTAAATTGCTTAAATTGAAGTGAGGCAAGTGTATTCCATACAAGTATTATATATTTAATCTAATCAAACCTTACTACTAAAAGAAACTAGGATTTGTGAAATGTGGCAAAGCACGGAATAATGAGTGTACTTTTTATTTTGATTGTTCAAAATCAGCCTTTATGTGATATGAGAATATGCAACTATCTGTGACATTTTTTGTTCATTTTATTTGCTGAAATGTGCAGTCCATTTATGTATATTGCTTGTCATGTTTCGTTGGACAGGTTATTCCTTTTTCAAGGGGAAGTGCATGGGAGCAACCTCCTCCAGACTTAGCCTCTTATTTGTACAAGAATCGAATTGTTTACTTGGGCATGTCTCTTGTTCCTTCAGTTACAGAATTGATACTTGCTGAATTTCTTTATCTACAGTATGAAGATGCCGATAAGCCTATTTACTTATACATTAATTCTACTGGAACAACCAAGGTAAAAAAATTTCTCCATTATGGCTAATTCTCTTATAAATTTCATCTAGATATTTGCTTTTAATGTATATCTTGGATCTATGAGCATTTTCTGGTTTTTAAACTATTAGGTTCACTAGGTTTTATATCTGCTGTTGGTTCTCTTTTGTCCAATAGATGTACCAAGCTCTGCAATCATGTGTGTAGACTTTTGCAACTTGTCTTCATTTCCAAACCAGACCTCTGGCGCCCAGGACCTTGGAAATTTAAAAACAATTGTATTCTTTCTCCTTATGTTTTTGTGTGTTGTATCATTGCATATTCAACGATCTTGACCAGTCACATGAAGGCCTATGGATATATTAGTAAGGGATAGGATCTACTCATTCTGGAAAGTGTCATGCCATGACATAGAATAAGCAGTCAATTCTCAAAGAGACATTTGGGTTAAGTAAACTGTTATTAATTGAAAATATGGAGTTGAATGCATGGTGAGCATATGTGTTGTGGTAAACTGGTATATGTGTGGTGAGGAAAGTATTAGTGACTTTGTCACCATAGGTAGTGGTTAGTCATTGCAAATTGGTGATGCATGGGGGGAGATTTGAGTTAAACAATTAGTTCGCTTCCAATGATATAATTTAAATGTATGTTGGATCCTTTTTTTTTCCCCCTTTTTCCTACTTGAACCATGTTTTGCAATAACATATCATTTGGTCTTTTCAACATTTTATTTCCTTTATTAAGTGAGAAGAGTAATTAATAGAATGCTTACAACTGTTTTCCTTAGCTTTTTAGTACTTGATCTGTACTAATAGAGATTTTCACTGTCTCAGGGTGGAGAGAAGCTGGGTTATGAAACTGAGGCTTTTGCAATATATGATGTTATGAGGTATACAATCTTTATGCTTTTCATCCATAAGCATGTGTTGCTTAATCATGTTAAGTGGCCTATGCCCTATGGTTTGCATTTTCTGAAACTTAGAATGATTTTGAGTCTTTGTTTCAAGTTTCTCGAGGACACTAACTTCCAGTGTAACTATCAATCTTGTCTCAACTGCATTTGGATAGTTATGGCCTTACCTGCCCGCAGATCCTAGCTGAAGCTCCCTGAAGAAAGTTCACCAAAGTTGTTGGTCTTGTTCTTTTATTTTCTTTTTCCCGAGCTTCATATTGCTGGATCTCACTTATGCAGTTCAAGGCAATGGTTTGATGAAATATAATTGCATGTCTTGTCATTTCCAAGCAAGATGCTTTGTTCAAACCTGGTTAATCAGGTTGGCTGGTGAAGGATCCATCTTACTCTTGGTAGTAACCTCTGATGATGGGCTTTGTGGATAGAAAACCTTAGGCTAAAATTTTAGTTATTGTATATCTTGTTGCACAATAGTAACTTCCAAGTTCAATTTGTTAGTGTACCTAGTGTTAGCATTATGCATGCTAGTGTCATACGGCTTTCTATCTCAGTTTCCTTTTTTTTCTTTTAAGTTCTTTTAGGTGAGACTAATCTCATTTTTGGTTACTATCAATTGGTATTCTGATTTAGAATGTTTTCATTCAGCTTTGTGATGTTAAATATGGTCAAGAATTAATGAATGCAAACTGTTTCTGTATCGCTTCTAGTTCTAAGGGTCTTCTGAACAATACTTTTTTTTGTGGAATTATCATCTTCCACTGCAGTTATGTGAAGCCACCTATATTTACTCTTTGTGTGGGTAATGCTTGGGGTGAAGCGGCTCTACTTTTGGCTGCTGGTGCAAGGGGAAATCGTTCAGCCTTGCCTTCATCAACGATCATGATGAAGCAGGTTATTTCTTGACCATTGATCTCTAATTCATAGCTACTACGTATTGTCTGAAATATTTTTTTAATTTATTGCAAGGCTGGAAAAATGGAATTTATTTTTCTAAGGTCTCCGGTGGACATGGTTTATATTCTTTAATGTGACAAATGCTTTTTCTTTACTAATCTGCAGCCAATTGCAAGGTTTCAAGGTCAAGCAACTGATGTAGACCTTGCAAGAAAAGAAATAAAGAATGTGAAGGCAGAATTGGTAAGATTGATGATCAGTTACATTGTATATTTCCTCCCAGTCGTCAAGGTTCTGAACTTATTGAACAGTATGACATTAAAATTTATCTTGGATAGTGTTTGATCACAATTTATCATGACAGTTGAAGGATAAGGAGTTTGTTTATGGCATGATGGTTTTTACATTCATCTGAGTTAATGAAAATTGGAGTTATTGCAAATTAATTAAATTGAATTTTTTTGGCTAGATGTAATGCTTGATGCCAGAGCTTGTCAAACAAGATCAGTATTAGAAATTGATTATCAACTAACTTGTATCCAACTTCAAACAGCTTCAACTAATTTGCATAAAAGGCTTGAGTACTCTATATAAGAAGTTTATTGAAGTTAGTGTCTCAAAAAGATTGACCTGTGCATCTGTATTTACCATATAATTAAAACAAAGAGCAGAAACGAAAGGACAAATGAAAACATGTTTTTCTTTTAAGTTTTTGGAGAAAAGAAAAACAGAAGAATTCTGGTTATTGGTTGACTGCTTTAAGTTTGTCAGAACTTGATACAAACCTATTTATTTGATTATATTTTGGAGATGAGATATTGACAATTTTAGCAGTATTGAAATGTGATGTGCATCTAGATGTTAACTAATGTGGTAATATGACAACTAACATTTCAATAATTTCTTTTGTGTTCAAGGTTAAACTCTATGCAAAGCATATTGGAAAAACACCTGAGCAGATTGAAGCTGACATCAGACGCCCAAAATACTTTAGTCCCAGTGAGGCAGTTGAATATGGCATCATAGATAAGGTTTGTTCAGTCAACAACAACAACAACAACCAAAAAAAAAAAAAAAAATTCATTCAGCTCTAGTTTTCATGCTTTACTAAACACCTTTTAATTTTCTGTAGGTACTATACAACGAGAGAAGCCCTGAAGACCACGGAGTTGTTTCTGACTTGAAAAAGGCGCAACTTATTTAACTCTAGGAAACTTTATTTGGTCATTGCTCAGAGTATTAAGGTAAAGCACAATTGCAAGTCATTGTCAGATCGTGAATTATGTGCCAATGAGATTCATTTATTCATGATAGAAATATTGTTATATGTAGTTCTTGATTATATGTGTCTGGAAGAAAGCTAAACTTCTTCATCAACTCCTTTACGGCGCTTTTGATTACTTATTGCGTAAGATTTTCTATAATATTGACGGTACTCAGGCTGTAGTCAGATGTTAGTCACTTGGGACCACAATATCTTTTTAGTCTAATCTGTCTTTATTACAGATTTTTTTGGAAAGATTTGACTCCCTTGAGAGAAGAGCCTCTCTGGTTCTGTAGGTTGTTTGTAATTACAAATCTTACTAACAGCATGGTACTACCGTTCTATCTGAAGAGTGAATGAGTGATCAGTCAACAGGCCTCTGCTTAGTGAGATGATCAAAGCCATAACCTATGCCTTCATTTGTAAATGCTGTGATTGTTATCTGAAATAAATCTAGAGGCTAGTATGGAATAGGAATCAATTCTTGTGGACATGCATGTTTTATCCAACATTATTGCACTCTTCGCTATCAATCATATGCCTCTTTCAAATTTGGACCTACAATTGCCCCAGTGCCTACTCCTAACTACTCCATTTCTCTGTTAGTATACTCTAGAACTGAAGAGTAATTGCTTGTTTTTTTCATGGTCACACCACCTTTATGTTATTGATTTCTTTGTATGCCCATTCAGGAAAGAGACACCTGGATGTGTACTCATCATTCCCAAAATTGGGTGGTTTGACTCTACAGTTCACTTGCGTTACAGCTTGCATTTTGTTTTTGATTGATCTGTTAAGATTTCTAGAGTTAAGATGAGAGTGATGGAGGATTCATTGTTCGGTGGTGGTATGTTGTGGCTTGGTAATTTTTGTTTCATCCCAATCACTTCACTTTTTGTACTCTTTGTCATTTAAAATTTCACAAGTGTATGAAGGGGATGCTAAGGGCAACTATTCTTAGTGAGATCAACCCTACACGTAGGTTGGTCCCAAGTCACAAAAGTGTATATGCATTATATAATCCTAAGAGGTTAGGGGCCATTGATGGAGAGTAGATGTCATTATTCAAGTCCATTATAGTGATAGTCACTATGTTTTCCTGTCTTTACTTCATTGTCAAATTGTTAGCGTAAACCAATTAGTTGATACATGTTTAGAGACTTAACTTCTTTTTGTGGTTTGGGAGAGTTTATTCTGGGTATATGTATAGATATTTTATTTATTTATTGTTTTATTAATCTGTTTTTGGTTAGAGAATTGTAGATTGAATTGCTGGCGTGTCAAGAAGCTGAGAAGACGATGGCAAGATCCATGTGTTAGCAAAAGGAAAAGACACGAAGGTCAGAACAATAACAATATGGGTTTAGTAATAGAATATGTTGCTGGACTGTGTGGATGTAATGTACATTGGTCACATACATCCATGCATGTTATATTCACTCACCATTTTTAACTGTTGTTATGAATTGAAACCAATTAATGGTGTGTTGTAATATCTGAAATGCCAAGAATTGTGCATTCATGTTTTTTTGTTCTTTCCTTGTGGCGAAGCACTAGATGCTTAGGATTTTGTTTTTTCCATTGGTTCGTCTCTGGGTACTAGTACTAGTACTACAAGCAGCAACTATATTTTTCAATCTCTCTACATAGCTTTTTAAACCTATTGTGTTATAGCAGGGTGGCCAAATGGACGACGAAGAGCAAAACTCACCAACCCATTTTGGAAATTCAATTATACACAGCCCTCTTACGGACCCCGTAGACAAATAACATTTCAAACGTGTCGCAATCCACAATTATAAATTAATNTTTTATCCAACATTATTGCACTCTTCGCTATCAATCATATGCCTCTTTCAAATTTGCACCTACAATTGCCCCAGTGCCTACTCCTAACTACTCCATTTCTCTGTTAGTATACTCTAGAACTGAAGAGTAATTGCTTGTTTTTTTCATGGTCACACCACCTTTATGTTATTGATTTCTTTGTATGCCCATTCAGGAAAGAGACACCTGGATGTGTACTCATCATTCCCAAAATTGGGTGGTTTGACTCTACAGTTCACTTGCGTTACAGCTTGCATTTTGTTTTTGATTGATCTGTTAAGATTTCTAGAGTTAAGATGAGAGTGATGGAGGATTCATTGTTCGGTGGTGGTATGTTGTGGCTTGGTAATTTTTGTTTCATCCCAATCACGTCACTTTTTGTACTCTTTGTCATTTAAAATTTCACAAGTGTATGAAGGGGATGCTAAGGGCAACTATTCTTAGTGAGATCAACCCTACACGTAGGTTGGCCCCAAGTCACAAAAGTGTATATGCATTATATAATCCTAAGTGGTTAGGGGCCATTGATGGAGGGTAGATGTCATTATTCAAGTCCATTATAGTGATAGTCACTATGTTTTCCTGTCTTTACTTCATTGTCAAATTGTTAGCGTAAACCAATTAGTTGATACATGTTTAGAGACTTAACTTCTTTTTGTGGTTTGGGAGAGTTTATTCTGGGTATATGTATAGATATTTTATTTATTTATTGTTTTATTAATCTGTTTTTGGGTAGAGAATTGTAGATTGAATTGCTGGCGTGTCAAGAAGCTGAGAAGACGATGGCAAGACCCATGTGTTAGCAAAAGGAAAAGGCACGAAGGTCAGAACAATAACAATATGGGTTTAGTAATAGAATATGTTGCTGGACTGTGTGGATGTAATGTACATTGGTCACATACATCCATGCATGTTATATTCACTCACCATTTTTAGCTGTTGTTTTGAATTGAAACCAATTAATGGTGTGTTGTAATATCTGAAATGCCAAGAATTGTGCATTCATGTTATTTTGTTCTTTCCTTGTGGCGAAGCACTAGATGCTTAGGATTTTGTTTTTTCCATTGGTTCGTCTCTGGGTACTAGTACTAGTACTACAAGCAGCAACTATATTTTTCAATCTCTCTACATAGCTTTTTAAACCTATTGTGTTATAGCAGGGTGGCCAAATGGACGACGAAGAGCAAAACTCACCAACCCATTTTGGAAATTCAATTATACACAGCCCTCTTACGGACCCCGTAGACGGAGAACATTTCAAACGTGTCGCAATCCACAATTATAAATTAATTTGTTGTACAGAGAGCTAGTTACGGATTTGTGAGTGCCATCGTCCCTAATTTTGAGTATTATCTAAATCTTGAAGTACTTTAGCACTGAGTGCGGTACAACCAAATTGATGATGTGCCGATGGCTAAGGGTAATCCAGTTGTTATTTGGATATTCCCCTTTCTTGACTAAATAAACCAATAAACAAGTCTTTTCATGGTGGGAAGGATTTCCCCATTAGCCTTCTGTTTTTGACCCGCTCTACATATATCAATTCCAATACGAAATCCAGTTTCAATTTTCGTTTCTACTAGGTTATTATGGTAATCGTCTGTTCCTAATCTATTTCTACGAGCTTCTGATGGACAAACCATGAGCTTCCTATTTTGGCTGCTCCATAGCTTGTGTGTTAAACTTAAGACTTGACTTTCCAGATATAAAATCAAAACAAAAATAAGTGAAAACTAATAAATGCTACTTATCTGGTAATTTTTACATTTTTCTTTTTCTCCATATCAAACTAGTAAACATTTCAGTCCCTTCACTAAATTATGGTGACAAGAACTTTTAGCTTTACCAAGGATGACGAATGCATTAGTAAATTAATCGCACGTTTATTTATCCTTCAACTTTTATAATTAATTTGTAAAATATCTGAAAGTGGCCAAAATGTGGAAGCAGGGACAAGTGTTGGGCGCTATATGTATCCTTCTCTCAATTAATATGATGAATCTGCATCTAATATTCCATACAAATATAATGGGGTCTACTTACACCTACACATCACTAATCAAATCCAACCCTCCTAGTCTTTTTTGAACTCTCTAGTCCCAAATGGAAGATAAAGGTGGCAGATATACCTCAATAGCAGCCTCAACACCTCTACTATAAATATGGGATTCTGGTTTGTTAGTTTCCCATCCCATTTCTAAACTTCTTACTTCATCTCTCTCTCATTCCCAACGCAATATTCAGAAATGGGATTTTTTCTTAATTATCATTACTATCTTCTTTCTGTGCTGCTGCTTTTGCCTGCATTGTCTTACTCTGAAGACACATTTACATGTTCTAGGGCAACTTACTATGGTAGCCCTGATTGCTTAGGGACTCCATGTATGTAAAACCAGGCCTCTATTTATATTCATTTTTTGTTATAATTGTATATATACGCTCATGCACTAGTTTACGTTAACTCTTTCAAATTATATATCTTGCATGTCTTGGAGCTTTTCCCCTTCTATGTACACTCATGCACAAGTTTACGTGAACTGTTTCAAATTACCTTGCATGTCTTTGAGCTTTTTCCCTTCTATAACTAAGCTGTGTATTGATTTTATTTAGCTGGAGCTTGTGGGTATGGAGAATTTGGAAGAACTGTAAATGATGCTAACGTTGCTGGAGTTTCAAGGCTGTGGAAAAATGGAACTGGTTGCGGAGGTTGCTATCAGGTATAAACTCTCAAATCATTGTGCCATAACCAGAGTTAAAGTATGTGTTCTCTTATCTCTCTAAGCTCTTATGCTTGGAAGAAATTTTAACTATATGTATACACTATTTCTAGTTAAATTTTCCCTCCTCTTAAAGAAGTTGAAGTTGAAGATGAGCAATTTGTTAAGTATCACTAACAAATTAATTATTAATTCTTTTGCTCTATATCAATAATGATGCCTATGATTTTTGCTTTTGCATCAATTAATATTTTATAATTGATTAATAATTCAGGTTAGGTGCACAGTGCCAAAACTTTGCACTGATTATGGAGTGAACATAGTGGTGACTGACTATGGTGAAGGAGACCACACCGATTTCATCCTCAGCCCGAGCGCCTACTCAAAACTGGGACGTCCAGACACAGCTGATGAGTTATTTGCTTACGGTGTTGTTGATGTAGAATTCCGAAGAATCTCCTGCAAATTCAAAGGTTACAAAAATCTCATGTTTAAGGTTCATGAGCACAGCAGGTTCCCTCATTACCTAGCAATAATTTTGCTCTACCAAGCTGGACAAAATGAAATCCTAGCAGTTGAAATATGGCAGGTACAAAAATGAGAAGTTTCATCAACTTTTTCAATGGCTTTATATATATATATATATATATATCTGAGAATATTGAAATGGGAATTTTATTGTGTTGGTGCAGGAGGATTGTAAGGAATGGAGGGGAATGAGGAGGGCATATGGTGCTGTTTGGGACATGCCAAATCCCCCATATGGGTCAATAACGTTGAGATTTCAAGTGAGTGGAAGCATGGGGATGACATGGATTGTAGCAAACAATGCAATCCCTGGTGATTGGAAGGCTGGAGTTGCTTATGAGTCAGATATCCAGCTTACTTAAACGACAATATATAACATGTATCCCAGTTGATTATGAGTTATGATATTTAGTGCTACTCTGCCTTATATAAGTGTGATTTAGTTTTGTATCATCAGCTGATGAATAAAAATTGGGATTGTAAGGATAGTATGAATAAAGTTCCACTGGATTCCAATACAATTTGATAGCCACCTAACTCTTATAGATGAAATGGTTGATAAAGGGAAAGGAGTAGTGGACCATATCCATGGTGTTATCTATTTAAAATCTGATTCTGTATACTGACACTGAACAAAAACTATACAAAGGAATTTGATTGTTCCTCAATTCAGGAAGACAACAAGACATTGTTTTAAACACTTGAAAAATTAGCCTCTTGCTTTGCTTAAAAATATAAACCTTTTGAATCATAGTTTCCATGCAACCAAACAAGACAAAACCAAAACTAATGTGTCAAGTTCATTCACCAGTGAGTGAGCAACCATATCTTCAGCAGTTGCTTCTATTTTTCAAGTGTAAAAACCATAACATACAAGTTAAAACCATACGGAGCATCAAGCAACAAACAATCCCCTTAACATACAAGTTAAAACCATATGGAGTATTGTTAGGATCCCACCTTGAGAGGGAAAAGGATCGGCATATAGGTTATAAGGATTTGGACACCCTCCCTAGACAAGCCGGTTTTTCAAGGAACCCACCCCAACAACTCAAACAATTGGACTGGATCATGGGTTTTCATGGGCTTGGGTAGAACTCTCCTTGGAAAGCCGGCTTGCCAAGGGAAGGTGCCCAAGTCCCTCTAACCCACATGCCCACCATTTTCTCTCTCAATGTGGAATCCTAACATACATACCACCACGCTTTCGCAACCAACGTCCATGTTGGCCTCTTAACCCTTGTCGGCCTCTTTACCCCTTGGGTGACTACGCGGATCCATTTTCCCTTAAGCCACCATGCCTTTTCTCGGGGTCGTAGCTTAGGCCTAAGGTCAGCCTGCCACATAGGCAACGTCCACGTGGAAGCGAGATCATGCTCTGATACCAATTGCTACGAACCCACCCCCACAACTTAAACAATTAGGCTAGGTCATAGGTCTTTCATGGGCTTGAATAAAACTCTCATTGAAAAACCGGCTTGCCAAAAGAGGGTGTCCAATTCCTTATAATCCACATGCCCACCCTTTTCCCTCTCAATGTGGGATCCTAACAAGCATCAAGCAACAAACAATCCCTAAACTCGAATGCACAATCAAAGCTTTGCCTTCAACTATTGGCACTCAGAATACAGCTTGTGAAGTTTATAATGCCTTCAAAACATCAAAATTTCTGCATAAAAATCATATTTGCAGAATTTAATAGTATTAGACCTCAGAACATTGTCCCCTATTGATGTAATTTTTTTCTCATATGAATAATCATGATATTTACCTGTGTCTTTGTACATTATGCTACATTCATTTGTTTAGTGTGCATGAAAAGTGCCATCATAATATATAGATCTATATATATATATGGAATCATTTAAACATCATAAAAGGGAACAATTAATATAACAAGTCAAGCTTCATACATACGGGTCATCTTCTAACAAACAAATAAGATATAATAATGCATTTTAACAGATGTGTATGCACATACACATAAGCATACATGCTCATCTTCGCGCACAGACTGGAGTTAGAACCTGAAAATGTTAGGAGTCCAAAGAAAGTTGCTGTGAGGAAACAAGAATTACTACTTCTCAGCAATTCCAAACTTCTATGGTTAATCTGCGTCAATACAACCTACCAGTGCATTCTGAAGAACCACAATGGCAACTCTTCTTCTTAATATTTCCATCTGAATCATGAACCTGATCTATGACATAATTGTAGTGATAAGTAAGCTCTTGCAAGGGAGGAATGTTCTCAGCAGCAAAGAGCATTATATGAGGCATTCTTTTGTCCTCGTGGTCATAAAGGACATTTTGGGCATAGAGATTAGGAGAACAACTATGATTAATGAATCTTCCCACATTACCATACTGTGCTGCATCAATGGTAAACCCACCACCCTCCACAACTTCACAACATGAAGTTGACTGTGTATCAGGGATGAGGGTCGAAAGACCATCCCAAAGAGAACTTTCATTGTTATTGTTCCCTATATCAAACAGATACTCATCATTACCAGTTCTCTTTTCAGCTTCTTTCTCCTCAAGGAGCTCTCCTACATACTCGCAGATAAAACTTCCTGAAGAAATGGAATTTAGGGATCTCACACCCCAGCCCCTAGATTCAGTTTTAAAGACTTCAAGCTGAAATTTGATACCCTTCTGACTGACTCTATTATAGCAAGAAGGAGGACACTTGCAAGCAGGACCACACTCATAGACAAGGGGCTTCACTTCGACAATTGCACCATTGTGGTTGTAGGGGATCTCTCCGCCATTTTTGGCCGCACAAGAGCATTTCCCCGAATCTGAACATATAGTCGTGCAATCACAGCCCTTTGAAGGAACAGGGTGGCACCAATCAGGATATATGATCTGAGTAGTGTATGTAAATGGTGGAGGCTTCTCCTCATCTATGGTGTTCACAGCACAAATGGGAATCAACTCCTGTCCTTGAGAGATATCAGTTACAGATACACCCTCGCGTACTTTAAACTTTTTGCATTTCTTTACCACCTTCCAGGCGAGTTCTGGCTGACCTGGAATTCGAGCCAACCTAAACTTGAAAACCAGTTTACCATGTGGGCCCAAATCCTGCCAGGATTTCTCCACCAAATATAGCCCATCATAAATGTATGTCCTCACTGAATCAGAGGCCCTTGTCTCACCACGGATTACTCTCACAGGATTCTGTTCATGTTTGCTAGTCAGCAAAGCAAGATTCCCTCGTTCAAGCTTCTGATCTTCTGGTTCTCTCCCTCCGTTGATCACATTCCCTCCTTGACCTGTGTAAGTCAGGACATCTGAGTTATCCAAGTCATCATCGTAACCCCCAGATGCTACAATACTCGTCGCAAGATGCTTTCCTTTATGCTTGACATAATCAATACCACCCTGAATTGGGCGATGAAGACCAATAATATTGAGCTCTATCCTATAATGAAACTCATCACCAACTTCAACTCCAGGAACAGACCCAATGATTTTACTGCCCTCATTGACATATTTCCCTTTGTTTTTTAGAATTCTTGCTGCTAGATAATCAATTCTCTTACGATTGTTTTGTCCATTCGCCTTTGCTTCTTCTTCCTGCAACAGCTTCCTACAAACAGCTTGGAAAAGGCGCAATGTTTCCCTCACTTTGTTTCGAGCGCCAGTAACATCATTGTAAGCGCCTTTACCCATTGAACTACTTGGACATGAAGGAAGGAGGTTCACGTCAAAAGTAAGAGATCTCTGATCCACCTGAAATTTTTTATTTTCCTCACCATTTAAAAGAGAATCTTCCTCATCCCAAATTGCTAATGGAACCATAGCTCGATCTGCCTCTCCAGCTGGTGATAAATTCTTCTTACTGAGTAGCCTCCTAGAGCTCTTTGCTTTATTCTTTCTCTTGAAAATAGATTTACATACTGACAGCATATCCTGCTTCTTACTTTTGCTTTCACCGGTAATAACAGCCTTTTCACTAGTAACATCGCCGCGATTACATTTGAAGGCCCCTTTCCCCTGTCTCCAAGGACAATTTGAGGATGCCATGAGACCGTGCACAATAACCAAATTCGATGCAACCAGTGAATAATCAGGATCTTCCTCTATCAATTGATTACCATCCTCCTCCATTTGTTTCACATCAGTCTCCACATTCAATCTCAAAGACCTTTCTTCAGTAACAAAATTTTCTTCATCCAAACTCTCTGCCTCATTCTTTCTCTTGAAAGTAGATTTACTTACTGGCAGCATATCATGCTTCTTACTTTTGCTTTCACCAGTAACAACAGCGCTTTCACTAGTAACATCAGCGTGATTACATTTGAAGGCCCCTTTCCCCTGTCTCCAAGGACAATTTGGGGATGCCATGAGACCATGCACAATAGCCAAATTCGATTCAACCAATGAATAATCAGGATCTTCCTCTATCAATTGATTACCATCCTCCTCCATTTGTTTCACATCAGTCTCCATAGTCACTCTCAAAGACCTTTCTTCAGTAACAGAATTCTCTTCATCCAAACTCTTCAAAGAAGCAAACATTTCGCTGAACTCTTCCTTACCAAGACGTGGAGCATTTGGCCCACAAAATGGAGGAAAGTCTCTAATCGCCGAAACTCTTCTCCTAGTTGGGTAATTTTTAGTTACTGAATTCTCCTGACTAATATCCGGAACAGTAATTCGCAGGTCAGGGGGCAACAATGTGTTCACACCACTTTCCAGGGACATCTCTTTCTTCGCAGCACCAATATCTGACCCATTCAAATGCTTTGACCCACTAGAGATTTTGCATTCTAACGGTTTTAAATTTTCAGATTCTGGAAACAGAGATCCTTCAGGATCAGCACTCACCAATTCAGGCCTCTCCAAATGATTAGATGGGTGCACAAGATTATCTGCATCAGTGCAAACTATGCCAACAGTATCTCTATTGGATGTCTGCGAGACAAACTGTCCACAACCTGGAGGAAAATCCCGAATAGCAGAAACTCTCCGCCGCTTATACTTGGGTAAATCACGCAGAGAAGCACAATGACCATTTTCCATTGGCAATATTCCTGATCTGTCCTCAGAACGACTACCATTACTCAATGAAACCACTCTTGCAGAGTCCATATGCAGCAAATTGTCCATAACCCCCATCCCAAACTCATAAACAAATCAATTGAAAACAATCTGAAAACCAAACATTATCATCGTTAGCTCTATCCATAACTAAACAGAATTTGAAGACTCAAACCCAGTTTTCAACATAACGGCAAAAGGGTAGTCAGATTATCAGATTGTGAGGACTTTCACTCTCCAGAAAGCAACTACATGCAAAGAAAATTAACAAAAAACCTAAAATTGAAAGAGTTAGAAATAAAGGAACCACATAATGAACCATCAAAAAGTTTCATATTATCTAATTTACATATTTTTTCCTCATTTTCCCAATAACCAAACGAGAATAGAAGCAAATCGAAGAAGAACCAAGACACACAACAGCACCAAAATTTCTTAACGCTGAATGACTTTCCTTGCTCCCTTGAAGGCAAACTAACGAACATACAACAATCCATACATAACAATAAAATCTTAATAATCCCATGTTCCACAAAATTCTTCAATTCCTGTATTTTTTTTTTCCTTAGGAACCAAACAGAAACAAGAAATCCAAAGCTAAATATCCAACACAGGAACAAAAAGCGTAAAAAATCAAACAGCCATAGCATATATCTAAAATGGAATCGAAAATCTTCAACAAGTAATACATTGAAGAAACAAAAAAAAAAAAAATAAATAAATAAATACGGACCTCGAGTTTAGAGCTTGATAGGAATCAAAGGCAGGAAAGCACGAGATCTGATGAAATGATCGTAAAATGGAAGTTTGGAGGAGATAATGATTTTTCTTTGAATTCAATAATACTAAGTACAGAAATGATTTGCTTCTTCACAGTCTATGCATGAACCCAGCAAAAAGCGAGGGTCTGTTACAGTACAGAGAACGACGCTTTGTTTAGTGTTTTGAGTAAACGAAACGACCAGTTAAACTTAATTTTGAATTATTATTTTTTTTCCTTCTATATTAAATAGATGAAGATAGAGTGAGATTAATTGACGTTTGCTTATATTTATGTTGGTTTATAAATGATTAAACATGGTTCGTGCGTTGCGCGAGATATTATTTAATATTTTGAAATAGTTTATAAACAAATAAACAATGATGGGTGCGTTTGGTTTAGTATTTTGGATAGGATTTTAGGGATAGTATGGGTATTGGATAGGGAGTATACGAGGTAAATTAAAAATTGTGAAAAAGCCCTTAGGTTTACTAATTTAACTAAAGACCCTAAATGTAAAATGACAAAAACACCCCCACCACCTGCAGTGTCAGATTCCGGCCACCACCGTCGGAATCTGGCCGGAAAATTTCGTTACGGCACAAACCGGTCGGATCTGTGCCGTAACACGTCGTTATGGCCTTTTCCGGCCAGATTCATGGTGGATCTGGTCGGAAAAGGCCAGATCTACGGTCTGTTATGGCCATCGACGGCCGGAAAAGGCCAAACGAGGGCCATCTTTGACCGTCAACGACGGCCATTTCTTTGGCCGTCGCTAACGGCCAGTTCTGGCCTTTTCCGACCAGATCCGTGGTGGATCTGGCCGGAAAAGGCCACAGCGGTGAACTTCCGGCCATTTCTGGTCGGAATTTAGGCCGTTGTGCAGATTCCGGCTATCACCAACGGTGGTTGCCGGAATCTGACAAGTTGGGTTGATGGGGGTGTTTTTGTTAATTTTTAAACTTTTTTTTCAGGGGGTATTTAGTGAAATTAGTAACCTTATGGGGTTTAAATGTAATTAAAAAATAGGATAATATTTCTGGAATAATGTGCCAAACATTATTTGGAGAATAGGATCCAGAATAGGGGTAAAAATATTAAGCCAAACATGCAGGATATATCTCATATGAAGAGATTTCGATTTCTTATTACATTTGTCACAATATAAATAAGTATTAATATTAGAAGTTTTCTTTATGCAATTGGTGCAAGAATTGTAACACCAACCATATATATCATCAACTTCGATTATCTTGGCCTTAGTTATATACTCCATCACCAATACAATTGTAATTTTTGTTCACAAACTATGTTATAATAATCAATTTAACGTTTCAGTGAATACGGTACCTCATCAACATCATGCCACAAGAGATTGGTAACATGTTTCAGTGATGTTCTATTCTTAAACATTTCCTTCTCAGTCGAAACTTGATTCATAATCTTTTTTTGTAATTGAATTATTGGCAGAATTCTCATTTTGAAATAACAAAGAGTAGATAAAATGTTAAATATGATTCTATCCGTGAAATTACTTCAAAAAACTGTTTGTCAAACACATACTCTTTCTGTAGAGAATGCACCTCCCCAATATCTAAATTTATATAAATTCTACATGCTGAAGTTGTATTCAAATATGATCTTCTTGTATGGAAGAAAACATAAGTTAGTTATCAAAAATATATTAATTTCATATAATATATTTTTATTACCTTTGAAATCTTAAACATTCGTTGAAGTAACTATTATGACAACTGGGTTGAAACTTGCTGATTGCAAATCTTCGCCTATTTCTTTAGAAAATTTTCCCCATAACGTAATGGCAACTGCTTCTCTGAAATTAATATTAGTGTAAATTATTTAAAGTGGAAGAAGAACAGAAAAATATTAACAAAAGAACTTACTCTGCCATCTGTAATCTGATGTCTCTTTTTTTAGTCTTTGTTGATTTGATCTCTTCAAAACTCAAATGATATCTGCATTTAATTTATCATATTTGATGTACAAGGATATTTCTTATGCATTTAAAACACAAATGTTCAAATTAAGTATACCTTGTATCATTTGCTCTATTCTAAAGATCATGAAGACCAGCAAATTCAAATTTATATCTTGGAATAACAATTCTCGATTCTTTTATTTTTTGTACAATTGTGATCATGAGAAATTGTATACAGTATATACCGTCAATGGGCCTGTAAGAGGGAGCAGCTAGTATGACTTTTATATGTCTGATCAAATATATTGACCCTTCATGAAACTAATTTTTAAACTTTGCAATCCTATTCTTTAGTATCGAGGCATGAATAATTTGATTCTAAAAAACCAATGAAAATCACAAATTTAAACAAACTTATATAAATCGGAAATAAAAGTCTTAACATTATTTTCAGACTATATTTTATACCTGTTGATCAATTAAAATCATGTCAAGGCTCATAAGTTCGTTACCTATTTTGAAATTCCTACATTCCCACAATCTAGATACTCTTACGGTGACTATCCAATCATCTCTTGATTCATCAATAGCCTTAAAAAAATTATTAGACATTGTTATCACTTGCCTGCAAAAAGAAATTCATCCTTAATACAATTCAATAAAAGCAATAACGATTCCCAACCGAAATTTTACAACTAAAGCAAATTTTGGTGTATCACAATTATGAATAAATAAAATAATGTTTCAATTTTATAATCTAATTTATACTATAAATATTTCTTATCACAATTTAATAGTATGCAGAATTTTTTGTTCGATACTGAAATTTTAAACTCCAAGAAGAATTTAACGATTTACAATTGTTACTACAATATTATTCGTCAATTTCTTTATTACAATTCTATAATATTATTGTACGCAAATTAATAGCTTTTATAGACAAATTCATAATGCAACATATACGGCATTACAATAGAAAGATAAAAACAATTGAATGTATCACATTACCTGTAACAGGAACTATATCTCAACTATGCCAGCAAATTTTTTTTTTTTTTTTGGGAACAATTATCTAATCATGTACTTTCAAGTACTTTTACTTATTTCTCTTAATCGTATACGACAACATAAACAACCTAAAGAGAAATTAAGCTACTTAATTTTTTATTAATATTATAGTTCGACATCTTTAAAAATTTGTATAACAAGTTGTATGGAATCCGTTGCCTAACCATTGTCCATAATTATGATTATTCAAAGTTTGCTACGGTTGATAACTTCACTATCAAACCATCAATTTGGCTATAGAATGGTAATAGAGCAAATACCTATTCACAATTTATCCATAAGGTATCATTGAGGTCTACAACTCAACTATTATCGGATTATGCTACCCTATGACAACTTGCCGAACCATTATCATGATATGATTAGTTGCATTTATAATTTGTTATAATTTTTTTAGGAACACTGCTAAACCATGAATTTAATCGGGATTTGGATACCTTAATACAATTCCATTTGTTCTTATATTGGTCACTCTCAGGTTATTTTTTATAGTCAAATGAAGTATTAGGCAGTGAGATTTAGAAATATTTCATTGGCACAAGTTCAAAAGAAAGGATAGTAAATATTTTGTTAAACCTACAACTTAGAAAACATTACAAGGATGTCAAAATGGTTAGACCTTTGGGATGCGAATGTAATGCAGACATACTGACAAAAGAAGTAAAAAATCATCATCCATAATTGGGCGGCATAATTTGTTTGGCAATTGGTTTGTTATAATTCATTGGCATAAAATATCATGATCCGGGAAGCACACCTTTGATATATTGCCTGAATATTAATAAATACATAGATGATTGGGACAAATACAGTTGAATATCTTAAAATCACCATATATTGACTACAACCAACAAATCTTTACATCATCAAACGTCAAACCGCAAATGTTCACGCAGCCAAAATCACTTGTACAATAGCAACTATCACAACCCAGCAACACCAAACCTGGAATAACCAAATCTTTGAATCACCATCACCATCATGTCGGGATACTAACCATGACACTCTTACAGCACGAATCATTGACATCCATAATGACCAAATCCGATTCAATAACATTTCATTCATAAATCTTTTGCAAAATTTTGCTGGGCGCCTGGGCAGCAGTCTGACTATGTAATGTTTTTTTTTATTCAATCCCATATGGATTTTATTTCCCAGAATAGATTCTCATTTTTTTCTAAAGTGTGTGTTTAATTAATTTATATATAGTGTGAAACTATTAACTGCAATTTTTAATCATTATTTGTTACATGAATTAATGATAATAGCTACATGTATTTCATGTCACACAAATTAATTCTATACTACTTCATGCAGTAAGCTAAGAATAAATATTTGAGTCAAAGTTTGCTCATGAATTCAAAAAGAGTGGATGGATAGATAATTTCTTTGAAAAATATTGAAAAAGTAATTTTCCATAATACATCACCTAACAGTTAAACCTACTTAAAATCAACATTAAATGAAATGCTACTGCTATTAACAAATTATCATTTAACATACTGTATGTACCACAAATTAAGTTAAGTGAACTAAATATTTTTTGTTTAGTTCACTTGACTTAATAAAATTTTCACAAAAACAAAATGGGGGATTAGCATAGCTATACATCAAGTGACATCCCCATCCATCAAAAAATATATATAATAGCAAAAGATAATTGGTTGTATGTCTATTGTAGCCCCACTCCTCCTACAAACAAATTAATGTGAAACATATTAAGTATAATTGTCATTTTATATAAACCGTAAAGATGAAAATGCAAACCTCAACACAAAAGTAATAAATATAGATCTGCAGAATCCTACTGTCATAGCCAATAACTCACGAGTGAATCAACCAATCAGCTGACTCCCATCACCTGATAGAATAGGAAGCTGAATCTCCAAGTGATCCTCATCCTCCTCTTTCTAAGATGAAAAAAAGATAAAAATAATCTATACGTTAGAATAAAGTTAGTTTAAATATAGAATTAAACAAAACATGTAAGCATTGGAACTTACTTTGCACCATTTCTTCACTCCATTCAAAGTGCGACACCAGTCACATCCACATAACAACATCTCCACTATAGCTGGTGACAAAGAAGCTCGGTAACTATCAATAACCCTGCTCCCAGCACTGAATGC